AGGCGGCATTGGCTGGAGAGGCTGTTGTTGCTGTTTTCTGTACGGGATATTTGAATTTACTCTTTTCATTGATGGGTACAGGTCGGGCAATTCGGGGAGGTGCTCTTGGGCGGGAATAAACCGAAGAGGGTGCTGCCTTTGGTGTTATAAATTCCTCTAGGGGTTTGGGAGTGGTCCTCACTTTTGGTGGAGCATCTTCGTCGGCTGCGGCTTCTTCTTGATCGGGAATATGGGAATCAGGTTTTTCATATTCATCCAAATCGTCGACTTCATCGCTGGGGGCAGCTGTGGTTGAGGTACGTTTCTCATTGATACGTCTGCGGCCAGTTTGACGACGTGGTGGTGGTGCAGGTTGCTCTTCCGCTTCATCGACATCGTCTACAACGACAGGGGTGGCTTTGCGACGACCTCCCAAAACTGGACGATCATCACTGAAGCTGCGTCTCTCGTCGGCATTGGCACGTCCCGAAAAGCTTCCGGGTTTACGACTGCTTATCTTACGTCTTTCGGCGGCGGGTGTTGGTTTACCACGGATCTTTGGTTTGGGTTTGTCGAAATCGTAATCATCTTCAGCATCAACTTCGTCCTGGAAACGTTTACGTGTATTTGGGCGTCTGAAATAAAAAAACGGAATTATATTCGATTTTTGAATTTCAAAAAGGATTGTCTTAATCCTCACCTTGGCTTCTCATCTGCCAGTGAACGTTTTTCATCTTCGTAGTCTTCATCCTCATATTCGACAATGGGACGACGATGACGTGGACGATTCTTACGACGTTTATTCAAACGTTCCTCATAGTAATCCTCATCGTATTCCTCTTCGTCGTAATAATCGTCAACGGGACGACGACTGCCAGGTCTACGTAATGGCCTCAATGGTCTAACTTGTTTTCGCCGTTGTGTTGGTGGTGGCTCCGTAGTTGTTGTTGTCGTCGAAGTGGTCGTCGTTGCCATATACAAATCATCATTTCTGTTCCAATATTTTACCGAACCTTCACAATCGACATCCGAGGCAAAGTGACAGATGAATGTTTTCTGATCGAATGCTGTGAAATTGGCGCAAAGGAAATCGTGTCGAATGCCATAGACGCAGTGATGATAGAGCTGAAAAAGACACACACACACAAAAATAAGTAATTGAAAAAATGGTAGGAGAGGATATTTTTGGGGCATTTTATAAAGATAGTGCTCTATGGAGTATTTTTATATAGAAAAATTATGTGAATGCATTTTTTGATGCAGATGACTCTTAGAGGTGTTCTTTGTGAATAAAGCATCTGCAGATCTTCTTTGTAGAGAGAACTCTTGGTGGCCTTCTTTGTAGAAAAAATCCTTGTATTGTAGAGAAAACCCTTAGGAGTCTTCTATGTCGAAAAATAAGTTTTGAGGTCTTAAATATATGAAAGACCTTAGGAGGTCTACAATGTAGGCAAATCCTATATAGAATCGACCAAAGAAGGACCAACCGACTGGTTGTTAGAATTGCTTTATTTGCTTTTTCAGTTTCCTCAGCAGTAGGGCCATCGACGTCGGCATCTACAGCTTCCGAATCTTCAGTGTCTTTGGTTGTGAGTGTCTCAGTTTTAGCAGATTCTTTATGGGAACGCAATGTTCCTGGTTTACCTCTGCTGTTAGCTAAGCTGATTCGACATTAATTAGGTGTCTTCACGGGCTCTGGTTCTGGTTTTTCCTCATCTTCTATTTCTTCAGAGGGATCAGACATTAGGTATCCATACGTGCTGAGGTCCGTGATCGTGACCGTGTCTCCATTAGGCGTTCATCGCAGTCATCATCTTGAGATGGTACATGACCACGTTTACAACCGTTCGACGAATTACAATGACGATTGTTGCTGCTCCCACTGTAACCAGGGTTACCGTTGTGCGACTAAAATCGCAATTTGCAAACTTTTTGATGCCCTGTGACTCTGCTTGCAACTTTTTAAGCATTCAAACTAATTTTGATTCGTATGCGTCGTTTTTGAGTTCCAAGTGTATCTGACATATTCTGGGAAGAGTTCTATTGGCAAATTTATTTTTCTGTGTAACTTTTTTTTTCAAGTGAACGATTTTTTGCAACTTTTTTAAAATTCCCAGCGGTAACACTGACTGTAATTATCATCGAATTCCTCTTCGACATCAATGATTTTCTTATCGACGACACTTTGTTTCCTTAAAAGTTCGGGTTGGCTTCGGAGAACTACCACTTCTTGGTGGACGCTCGTTTTCGTCCTCATCAACGGAAACAACATCGACGATACGTTTTTTATTGTGATTCGAGGCCTTACATAATATTCCTCATCCTCATAGTTGTCATCATTACCTCGAAGGCTTCTAAGACTGTGGTTTTGTATATGTAGAAAATGGTTTCGGAGGTCTTCTATAGAGAAAATACCTTTGGAGGTCTTCAAAAAACAATTTTGGGATTTTATATGTATTGAAGGCCTTTGGAGATATTTTTTTCCCTGAGAAGATCTATCGGGATCTCCTATGTAGAGAAAGTCTTTGACGGTGTTTCTATTAGAGAAGGCCAAGAGGACTTTTATGTAGAGAAGGCTTTGGGAGGTATTCTGTGTGGAGAATATCGTAGAAGGTATTTTATGTGGAGACTACCTCCTGAGGTCTTCTAAACAGAGAGAACAGTTAGAGTTCTTCTATGGCGTAGTGACAATAGATTTGAATATATTCAGGGTATACAAGCCCTTTGAAGGTCTACTATGCAGAAAAGACCGTTGGATTTCATTCTGTATTAAGAAGACCTTTATATGTAGATAACTACGTAGGAGGTCTTCTTTGTAGAGAAGACCTTTGAAGGTCTTTTATGTAGAGAGGCCGTTACAAATCTTCCTGTGGGGAGGAGTACAACTAAAAGCTTTAAAGATCTTTAATGTACAGAATTTCTTTAGAGGTTTTCTAAGTAAAGAAGGTCTTTCTATGGAAAGAGAACTTCTAAAGGTCTTCCGTGAAAAGAATATCCTTTTAGGTCTTCTAGGAGCTACGACCTTTGAAAGACTTCTTCTTAGAGTATTTTTCGAGGTGTGCAACCGTTAGCTGGTAAACCTTACATTCGGCATTAATAGACACAAAAAACACTCTCACACACATAATTACTTAATTTCAGTTTGTCCAAAAACCCTCCGAAAAAAGAAACCGGTATTAGTGGCAAAGCAAACAAAAAAATGTTGGCTTTTTTTGGCAGCTGTGAACAATAAAGGTAGCAGCGTATTATGTTTCAATTTTTGTTTGTGGGTCAAGATCAGCAAATTACAATAACAGCACAAGCTACACAATTGTCTTTTCAAGGTAAATGGGTTTGAAAACCATACCAAAAAAACAAAAACTTCGGTATTTACCACAACGGAATGCATTTTGGGAGCTGTAATTGTTTTTTTCTCTTTTTGTAACAAATTCCCAACTTTCCAAAATTATTATAGTTTTCTATAAAAAAAATAAACATTAATGGGTCAAGGTCATGGGTGTCAGTGTGGTTGTGTTAAATACAGTACAATTTATTAAAAAAACATTTTCAATAGTTCAGCTTGAAGGTACGGGCATACTATATTTTCCCTAATTATATAGGGAAAATATATTCATTATTATTGTAATGAAGGCACATCTCACATTTTCCAAACTCATTTGAATTTTGAGGACAATTTTAATTTACCTGACATTTATATTCAATGGATGCATAGAAACCATCATGCAGGCCATCACACTTGAAATGGATATCTTCATCGGCTGGGGTCGTTGACAAGAATGGATATGAGGATAAGTTGTAGCTATAATTTTAGAAAAATAAATAAAGAAAAAGAGTTTGATTAGTACAGTCAGTGGTGTTCAAAACTAATTGCAATGAAATATTCTAATAAGAAGTTGTGGTAGTTTTGTTACCCTCTCAATTCTCTGGGTAAATTTGGATCCCAAATATAATCGATTTGTGGTATACCCGTCAGTTTGGATTCTCGGGAATTGGGTTTGGGTGTGGCATCGTTCTGTAATGAAAAAGAGAAACACAAAATAATAAAATAAATATTGAATACGAGGGCAACTATTTCTATTTCTGGCGTAATATTAAAGATGCCTTAAAAAGAAAAGGCGAATATTTATGGTTCTTCTTAAGTTTTCTCCAGCTTAATTTATATACTTTTTCATGCACTCAAACCTATTATCACATCTATTTTCCACTCCGATTCATAAAACTCCAAAAATATCGTTTTTAATGCTTTGAATGCGGGTTTGAAGAAGAAATGATTGAGCGCCAATTTATGACATTGTTGTGGTTGGGCGCCAAATCGGAATTGTATGACGGATGACCCATCAAGTTCACATTTTCGTCAGCTAAAAAGGTTATTGAATGTGGGAATAAAAATATAAATGATTATAATGACTTTGCGTCGGAAATCTTATCAGTTCCACCTTTTTGGAGGTCAAAAAAGCAAAGTATTGAGAGCATACAACCCTGATTTGGGCGCGAAATCAGGGTTGTATGCGGATGATACATCATTTTCACCTTTTCATGAGTTAAAAAGGTTGTTAAATGTGGAAATAAAAAAGAAATGATTGGGCGCCAAATGACTTTGTGTTGGAAATTCTATCACTTCCACATTTTTGCGGGTAAAAAAGGCACAGTGTTGAACTTGCAGGTGTGATGGTTGGGCGCCAAATCAGATTTGTCTGCGGACGACCTATCAATTTCACGTTTTCGTCAGTCAAAATACTTCTTGTTCGTTTTTTTTTAACCCAACACTTTAGGCAAACAAATTGTCGATTATTTGCGAGCGTTCAACGAATTGCAGCGTAACGAAAAAACTATTCCAAGTCGTCGTCAATGGTCAAAATACTTCTTGTTCGTTTTTTTAACCCAACACTTTAGGCTAACAAATTGTCGATTATTTGCGAGCGTTCAACGAATTGCGCCGTAACGAACAAAGTATTCCAAGTCGTCGTCAATGGGTTTCTTATTGGCTGTAGTAGGTTTCCTTAGAGTTCGGGTTGGCTTACGACTAGCTCTTCTTTGGTGGTAGGTCATCTTCATCCTCATCGTCGAAAACATCATCGATGATACATTTTTTATTGTGACCACGACGTGGCCTCACATCACTATACCTCATACTGACATTCGGAGGCGGCAGTGGCTGGAGCGGCTGTTGTCGCTTTTTTTCTTTGGGATAGTCGAATTTATTCTTTTCATTTATGTGTACGGGTCGGGCATAGCAGGGAGGTGCTCTTGGACGTGAATAAACCGAAGAGGGTCCCGCCTTGGTTTTTATAAATTCCTTTAGAGGTTTGGGAGTGGTCTTCACTTTTGGTGAAAGTACTTCTTCACGAACAACTTTCGTTGGATTTGGCTCGTCTTCGCTGACACATTACTTTTTGGTTTAAGGCTCATATAACCTCTGACGATCATATAAAAGTCATTGAAGTATCGTTATTGTATTTTCCAACATTTTTTTTTGCAAAAATCGACACGAGGGTTTTTCAAAATTGTCGGCATCCAATGAGGACAAACCTTTTTTACGGGCAAGTGTAATATATATATATATATATATACAGTAGTCCTCGTTTAGAGCATATACCATATAAACTAAACTATGGTTGGAAATATCGGCTAGGACCTTTAATATACGAAGTTTTAATTATTAAAAATGTCAATTTCAAAACATGGACCTATACTTGAAATTTTCTGCGAAGGGATTTTTTACCCTCCACGAATGCCATATAACAGCCCCTTCAGTTGAAAATGGCCATAGGACCCTCACAAAACACATAAAATGTGGCGGTACCTTTTTATTGGGTAAATCATTTTTTCCATGGAAAGCCAAATTATAACCACTTCAGTAGGACGAAACGTTTAGGACCATGAGAATATTGGAGAGAGATTTTTACCTATTTTAGAAAATCCTTTTTTTCCAAAATAGTTTTTTAGCCTCCAAGAACCTAAAATGCAAAATGAAAATCACCTAGTTTGAAGGGGGATATTTAAATGGGTGGTATATGTCGAAACATGGACCTACATTGAGGTTTGTGTACCCATCATATTGAATATTTTCTGTGAATACGTATTTTACACTTTAACGCCATATTACAGGAAACCCAACTCTTTTCGGATTCAAACAAAATTCAAATTGTAAGTATGAATTTTCAAAACTACATCCATACCTCAATCCTACGCTCCAACAGTAACCCTATTTCCAAAATTCAGTATTCCAGCTTATCGGTTCATAAATTTCCAAAATTTCCTACATATCCCAATCCTACACCACAACAATGATCCTAACTCCAAATTACAGTATTCCGGCTCTATCGGTTTTTCCAAAATTCAAATTGTACCAAATTTAGTACCTTCCAAAACTATATCCATACCTCTACCCTCCAACAGTAACCATATTTCCAAATTTCAGTGTTCCAGCTCTATCGGTTCAAACAAATCTAAATTGTACCAATTGTAGTACGATTTAGTACTTTTTGTACACATAAGTACAATATTCCAAATCTACCTGAATATTCTAATGATACACTTCGGCGGTATTGTTAATTTGAAATTTCAGGATTCCTGTTACATCCGTTCCTCCGAAATCAAATTGTACCAAATTTAGTACAGTTTAATACTTTTGGTATACATGAGTACACGCTTTCAAAACCACCTCCTTATATCGACTCTACTTCTCAAACTTAATTTGCATTCCAAAGTTTTTAGCTTTATCCAATCACATTCTATGAAATTTTACCAGCTTTAGTACTTTTCGGATACTTATAGTCCAAATGTCAAAAAAAAAATCGTTTGCCACATCTCCGTCCAGTGACGCACATTTCAAATTGAAGAGTTCTAGCTCTATTGGTTCGCCAAAAACAAATTGTAACACATTTAGTACTTTTCGTGCCATTCTAGTACGAATTTCCAAAAACCAAGCCTTACCTGACAAACCTCGGACCAAGAGTGACCCTTAGTTCAAATTTCAAATTTCTATCTTCAGCCGTTTCGTCTGGGCGTTGATGAATTGTTAAATCAAATCGTTAAGTCAAACAATAGGGTATTCCATAGCTAACATTGTACGAATTGAGATCTTCGAACATCTACCCACTTTCTTTATATACATAATTTCAAATATTCCCACAAATGAAAAAAAAAAAAAATTTAAGTTTGTCCCACATGTGGTCAGGAGGTTAATAGCCTCTGGTTAACCACAGAAATAAATAAATAGAATTATAGAAACTTTGAGTAATTCTTTTCAAGAGGAACGTGATTGGATTTTTAAATCTAAAAAAAATACTTTCGCCTCTATCGGCCTTACCTCCACCGACCATCAACAAAATTTGAAACCAAAAGGCCTACCATAAAAGGTTAACTATGCAAGTGGAACACAATAAGCCTAATGTGTGGGAGGAGGGGTATATATCAACTAATTAATAAACCAAATGCATAAACAAAGTTTTTAACCGGCTAATGGCCTCTTCGTAAATAGAAAACCCAAATTGGGAAAACATTGACAAAAAATGAAAACACTTTTCATTTCAAGAAATAAAATAGAAAAAAAAACATTTTTTTAACTCATTCATTCATTAATTTCACTTACCTTGTGTTCTTCCACTTTCTCCTCACCCGCCGTTGAAGATTCATCGGCACTCGTTTCGGCACCGGCTGCCGCTGGTGTTGTGGGCGTTGTTGTTGATGTTGTTTTGGGGGCAATGGACACTTTTTTGAATGGCGCAACAGCATCAACGTGTTGGGCTATGGCAAAGGCTAAGAGCGCTGCAAAGGAGAACACGAAGAAGAACAAGAATCGGAAACAATAAATCAATAATCATTGGAATGGAAAAACCTTGACAATGAAAACGAATTAAGAAATACAAAATATTTTTGTAAAGTTTAAAATGATTTCATAAGCTGCGGATCAAGATGATCATGCATGGTGATAATGAACTTGATAACTTGACTTTTTTAGTTGTTTTCCTAGTTTCAAGTGTATTGTTGTTGCTTTTTTTATTTTCATAGACAAGGTTAAATATTGGTAGTAGGTGTCGATTGTTTGTTTTTGGTTGGATATTGACAGGTTAGGTTATTTGTCACTTGACTTACCGGCTGCTATTAAAGTCCATCGTTTAGCTCTCTTCATTGTGCTTTGAAAAAACCCTTAGTCTAAAAGTATTTTTTGTTGTTGAAAAAACCTGTAATGAAACAAAAAGATGTACACGTGTTATATTTTATTTAGAATTTAATAGAATATTTGAACATTTATGTTTGTGTGAAAACGTTTCAATATAAATGCCGTGAAATATAGTAAATATAGCAGTTTCCAGTTTTACTAGCAGGGGGCGAAACTATTCATAAAAGCCATGATACAATAATTAGGTGATGTACCGACCATCTGTCAAATTGTTCCTTATAATATTTTACATAGTTGCCAACATTGCGCATCAAGTAGAAATTGCGCACTTTGACAGTTAATCAAGACATCAGCTGCTCTAAATGGACTACCTATTCATTGTGCCATGGACTGGACCATGATGCAATAATTAGATGATGTATCAAAACAAAAACATTTGTTTTTGTCTCGACCATCTGTCAAATTTTTCCATATAATATTTCACATGGTTGGCAACATTGCAAATCGAATTCAAGTAGAAATTATGTATGTTGACAGTTAATCAAGACATCAGCTGCTCTAAATAGACTACCTATTCATTGTGCCATGGACTGGACCATGATGCAATAATAAGGTGATGTATCAAAACAAAAACCTCTGTTTTGTCTCGATTATCTGTAAAATTTTTCCATATAACATTTAACATGGTTGGCAACATTGCACATCGAACACAAGTAGAAATTGTCCACTTTGACAGTTAATCGAGACTTCAGCTGCGCTAAATGGACAACCTATTTATTGTGCCATGGTCTCGACCATGTGTCAACTTTATCCTTATAATATTTCACACGGTTGGCAACATTCGATGTGCAATGTTGCCAACCAACAAGTAGAAATTACGCACTTTGACAGTTAATCGTTATATGTAGCATGAAGTTGAGCGACTACTGCAGTTGGACTTTTTCTGCTGGATTAGTATACCACCAAAACAATTTTAAGAAAATGATAACAGTTGGAAAGGACAAAGTTATGAACTTACAAGTGCCTTAAAAGTCATTACGAGTTTATGCATGCGATTAACGCTTTGAAGATTGTATATTATTAAAGTTCAGGGCAGATATATTATGTTTTGTTGAGACGTGGGCACTACATCAGGAAATCATATGATATTCCAGGGTTTACAGTATTACCAAGAATGAGAATGGATTCAACTGATCAGAGCTGTCGTATTTGTAAGCGCGGGCTAATTATGTGTTGTAAAAAATGAAATATCAGAATATATCCAATAAAGGCCCATCAAAATATTAAATTGGAACATTGGAACTTCTCTTGAGTTCGGTCGAAGTGTTTACGCCTGTTACCATGAAGTGTGAATTCACAATTTAATAAAATATTCGGAATATATAGGTCTATTCCCGTACAGCAAGAATCTACTATTGTTTATTTTTCCCCGATATTCAAAATGTTGCTGAAGCCTTCGTAAATGGTTCGAACCCATTTTATTAGTACCACTTCAAAATGTGGGCCCATATTCATCACAAACTATACCGACAATTGCACAGTACCTAAACGTGGATCGATATTTTCCATTTGGAATACGAAGTAGTGGGAACAATTTCGAAGCTCCACCTTCAATATTGCGAGCAAATATTCTTCTTTTTCTTTTCAAAAGAAAGGTAGAGATTTTTCCGCATGAGCATCCTAGGCCGGTCAATTCTAAGTTATCCAAATGTAGATCCGATGATCCCTATTTTTGTGGACCAAATCCATTTCCGACAATTTGGAGTCTATTTATAAATGTTCGTCCTCGAAGGGAGTAGCCGACTACAGCCAAAATTCATAAATCGTAATATTAGTGCAAGCTTGGATTAACTTCGAAGATGTTTTATAATATAATGCGAAAGAAGTGTCCGTTTTGAACAAAAGTTGGTAAAGCTCAACGTTTTAAACAAGTCTCTACAATGTTTGAAGATGGGGCTTCTCTATCCAACACTTCTAGTACCTCGCTGCCGAACAAAGGAAATATCGTAGGAAGCAAACGGAAAATTCAATTTCATCCAAACATGACACATAGATATACTTCTTCTGCCAGACCTAGATCAAGTCTGACCCACAAAGGGTCAACAGTATGTAAATCCAATTGGGCTTTACACAATTTTAGTAAAAACGATCTGATTTTTTGAAAAAATATTTTTACTCTATGGGGATGTACATGGATGTTCGACTACGGACACCCGGTTATTCTGGTTCTACTGAACCTATGTACACGAAATGGGTTCCATTTTAAAGGTTTTAAAAATATCTTTTAATTGTCACGCTAACACCGGCTACGAGACAGAAACTTATTTGAAATGATTCTGGTAAGAATTTCCATTTTATTAGTAGGGTTTTAAGGTACATATATTATGGTCTAAAACAGATATAGCCACAAATGGCAACATTTTGGAAAGCGTTTCGAATGTCAGTGAGGTTTCAAAAAAAAAAAAAACTTTTCGTGAGGGTCTATAATGGATTCTTGTTTTCGCAATAGAACAGTATTTTCAAAATATCTTTAAAATGACACCCATTTTGCAATAATCGGTATCTAGTAGATATATATTCTTTGGATTTCATATGTCAAGACCTGATTATGGACGACATATACCAAAAAAAAAATATGTGTACAGTACTAATTTTTAAATCCCTTCGTATTCGAATTGTACGAATTCTGCCATCAGAATTATTTTTGATTCTTGTAAAAAAGAATATAGAGAATAATTTCAAATTATTTATTGGACATTTATCTTTCAGAAAGAATGTACTGTATCACCCGAACGCAAGGATGTAGCTATGCCAAATTTTGTTCATATCCTTTTTAGGATAGTTGCTTTGAATCTGAGAACAGAAAATTGCTCTATGATTACGAAAAAAAAAAATTCAGGGCACAAAGGGTTAAGATGTTACCCAGTGTTCCAGTTATTCTTGTTACTCCCCCACAAAAGGGTATATATATTGAAAACATTTAAATTTCATATGAAAAAAGTCAGAAGTCAGTCAGACTGACACTTGTTATTTACACACTTGAAGTTTTCTTCTTTGGAAAGGACTCAATCGGAGGGGAAATGTGTAAAAAAGTATACGTAGATCAATAACCGTGGTACATTTGTACTCAACCAAAGATAGCTCTGTAACTCATTAAAAAAATTTGACTATCGTTAGGTTTTTTGTTTTAAATTGGTCTATACGGATCTGATCTAGATGTAGGAACTCAAAATTATATACATTAAAATAATATATATTTAAATCCATGCTTAAATGATAATCTATCTAAAACAATCATAGTAAATTCGTTTTAGCATTCGAATGGGTTAAGCTTTTTTAGTTATTTTTTATTGGGATCTTATTTAGGTGTTCCTCAACCCCTCTGCATATTTTTGTGGCCCTAGACAACATGGGGCTATCAGGGCGATTTGTGGAAATAAGAAACTACCTGGGTTTTCCTTTAAATATATGGAAAATATTTATAATTTTTTCTTCGACTATGTGTGAAAATACCACAAGAATGATTCCTCAAAATTTGATTCATATATTTCCATTATTAAAAGTTTTACAGCATTTTTATTCGGTTATTGACCGTAGGGTTAAGAAGTGTATAAATCAGACTGTAGAATCTGATCCGAAGTATATATTTTGAGGGACTACAAAAAAATAAAAAAAATATTCTTTCTAATGTTCATTCTATGTTCGATTCGAATCTATTTACTATTTCATAGGACTAATTCGTCTTATCTGAGTATTAATCGTATCATATATACCCCGAACTATAGGTTTCACGGCCCAACAATATCGTATTACCTTTCACATCATCTTTATGTGTAAATTAACTTTAATTTATGCACTGAAAAGTTAATGTATTTGTGTTGGTGTCGCCTAATTTAGTATTTTTTGTTATTGTATTTCAGGATGTACCAAGGCATTGCGATGTCAGTTCCATTCACTTTAGAGGTATGTTGTGCTTGTCTTTTTTCTTCACATATTTAAATGTGTGTAATTTGTTATATGGCCTCCAATCCAGCAACCTATTTGTATTTATTTAAACATTTAAATTCATAAAGAATTATCAACTTTACAATCAATAACATTGCCATTCCATGGAGTCAATGATCTTTGATGTGTCTTTTTTTTGTTCTTGTTTATTAACAAGAGAAAAAAAAAAACAAATAACAATCACAACAAACATTAACCCATTACATTGCTGCCTTTCGGATTTTCCCAAAAGTCATGGCGTCTTTCCTCCGTTAAGAAGAACTTAAATTTGCAACCTTCAGTTTTTTTCGGTTAATTCTGTTTTTATGTCGTTGTTGTTGCAGTTTTTTGTTTTTAATGGCCATAAAATCTTTTGTTTAGTGCAAAAAAAGTTTTTTTCGTGTCTGTCAGAGTGGAGATTTAAGTTGTTCTTTTTTTGTCATTCTTGAGGGTTTTTTTCTGTCGTGTCGTGTCGGCATATTTTTGTTTAAATTTGTTTTTCTCCTTTGTCAGGTGCATGTGATTGGCATATTTAATGAGCTGTTTTTTGAGGTTTTTATTCCGAATAGAAGAGCTCTTCATAATATGCCAACAAATTTTGTGTGTTTACATCAACTGAGATTGGGGTTTCGTTGTAAGCCGAATACAATGTTTATTTTTTAATTATCGCCATAAAAAAATTTAATTCTTGTTATAAAATTCGTAAGAAGATAGTCTTTCATGAACAGAAAATCTATGGAAGGGCTTCCAAGTAATATAGAATATCAAATGTCTTATATATGTATATATAACGGTGTTGCACATATACAAAAGACTTCAATATTGTCTTATAGAGATATGTCAAATAGAAAAATACCTTATACTAGAAGGCGCTCTTAAGATGACAAAAGCTTCTTGTAAGAAAAACTATTATCCTTGATAAAATTTAATTAATAATACTTTAATAATTTAATAATTAATACTTTAATGATTTAAAAAGGCGCTTTAGAAATCGTTTTTTTATTTATGTCTTAAAAAATCATCCATTAAAAATATTGT